GTGACAGGGGCAGGAACTGAGTGGTGCTCCTGGGGTTCTGCTTGGACCCACTAACGCTGTTGGGGAAAATGTCCCACAGCTGCTGAGGAAGGACGGTGGCATGCCCTTTCGTTGTCATATACCACAGGGTCCTTGACCAGGCCCATCCGAGGATTGCTTGGGGATTCAAGGCGAGGTGGGCAAACGGCTTCCGTAAAGCCAGGTGGAAATAGGGCTTTGCAGGCCACACAGACCACCCAGCTCCTCTGCTCTGAAGGGGCAGCTCCCAAGCAGCCACCACGAGAAATCAGCAAGTGGACGTGGCTGGTTTTATCTAGAACGTAAAAAGAACTACAACTCCAACAACCCGATTAAAAACTGGTCAAAGGCTTGAGCAGACATCTCTCCGGAGAAGACAAACAAATGCCCAACACACATGAGAAGATGCTCAGCATCACGGATCACCAGGGAAATGCAAATCAACACCACAGCGAGAAACCACTTCACACCCACTCGGATGTCTATTTTTATTTATTTTTTATTTTTTTAGATTTATTTATTTATTTGAGAGAGCGAGAATGAGCGAGACAGAGAGAGCACATGAGAGGGGGGGAGGGCCAGAGGGAGAAGCAGACTCCCCGCCGAGCAGGGAGCCCGATGCGGGGCTCGATCCCGGGACTCCAGGATCATGACCTGAGCCGACGGCAGTCGCTCAACCGATGGAGCCACCCAGGCGCCCCTCGGATGTCTATTTTAAAAAAAATAAAGAAGATCACAAGTGTTGGTGAGGATGTGGAGAACCTGGAACCCTCATTTGCACCATTGGTGGGAAAGCAAACTGAGGCGGCCACTCTGGGAACAGTACGGAGGTCCCTCAAACGATTTAAAAATAGAGCTGCTATATGATCCAGCAATTCCACCTCAGCGTATATGCCCCAAAGAGTCGAAAGTCTGCGTTTCTGTTGACCGTTGACTGAAGGCTCCGGCTCTGTGATATCATCTCCAGGTAAACTTGTAGGCTTCTGTCAAGCAGAGGACAAGTGATTCCTCCACAGTGGGAAAGATAATCACAGGTTAAATGTTTGCCCTGGAGAACAAGAAATAGTTTTGTATCTGGCCAACAATCTACTCTAACAGTCTTCAAATCTCTGCAAATAACCAACTCCTCAAATTCCACCCAGCAACCATCTTTTTTGTTTGTATGTTTTTTTTGTTTTTATTTTAAGTAGACTCCACACCCAGTGGAGCTCCAACTCACAACCCTGAGATCAAGAGTCGCACCCTCCACCGACTGAGCCGGCCGGAGGGCCCCCACCCAGCAACCATCTCTACTATCCTGCTGGTTCTCTTGTTAATGGATTAAATAAACTCACAACCCCTGCTTTTTCCATATTTGTAAGAAGGTTTTTAACTTTTTGGAAGTTTGACACCTTTGAAGTCACGGTGACACAAGAATGTGGCCTTCCGGGCACCTGGGTGGCTCAGTTCATGATCCCTAGGGTCCTGGGATCAAGTCCCGCGTCGTCGTCGGGGTCCCTGCTCAGCAAGAGGGGAGTCCGCCTCTCCCTCTGTCTGCCCCCCTCCCCCTGCTCATGCTCTTTCTCTCTCAAATGAATAAATAACTAAAAATCTTTAAAAAAAATAAACAAGTTAAAAAAATGTGGACTTCCGACTGTTTGAAGGCATGCAAACCACCCCACACCCCCAGCGTGTGTGACAGACATTACTAAGTGATCACAGACCCCCCCCCCCACCGCCCCCAGCTCTCGCCTTAAGGCTCTGGGGAGCCGGGCCAGGCCCTTGGAATTGACACCAGTCTGCCATTCCTGATGTAGAAGGGGCAGCGGCCTTGGAGCCTTGTGTGGGTGGGTATAGCCTCTCCACAGCAGGTGGCGCGGTTTTGCAGGCTGAGTGAGGTGGGTCTTTCCTGGGGTGGGTCTTGGAGTTCATTCAACCTCCTTTCAAAGTTTCCTTACCGTTTGCCGGGCCTTGGGCTGAACCCTGGGGGTCAGAGATGGACAGCACTCAGTCCTTGCCTTGGGGGACCCGAGAGGACGAGGAGCACGTGGGTTCAGGGGAACCAGGCTTAAATCCGAGAGCCACCACTCTAAAGAGTGCAGCCGACACACAGCCCATACAGCCAGTTCTCGGTCACAGTATTTGTACCCCGTTGACCCCTGCCAATGAGGAACAGGGAGTTAGCGGGACACCGCACTCCAGGGGAGACGCAGGGCTCGGTTTCTGCCGCCTCTGCTCACAACGTCTTTGTCAAGCGTCCAATACATAATCTGTTTTATGTGTGTTTCTGTTTCAAGACACTGTATTTAATACATGCTGTTGATTCAACAACATCCAACTTGCAGGGGCGGAGCCCCTCTGATGCATTTTCTCCTGGAGGCACATTGCTGCCTCCTTGCGCTCAGGAAGGGACAGCTCTTCACCATGACCCCGGCAGCCGTTTTCAACAGCGAACTCCCCACCAAAAAGCACAAAAATGCAAACCGTGTGGCACTAAAGGGCCCAGAAGGTCACTTAGAGTAGTAAGCTGCAACAGGGCAGAGGGTCAGGTGGCCCGCCCGCCCTCAGCTGGGACTGTGCGCCCAGGGAAACACCCTGAGGACTGACAGGGAGGTGACAGAACAATTTAGTGAGTACACAGATTTGCAGATGTGGATAAGGAGGATATAAGAGTTGACCATGAGACAGAGGAGGGCAGGAGCCTGGCGGTGGCCCACAGGGCCCACGGGGCGGGAACCGGGCGCTCCCAGCCTCTCTGGCCGGGGTGCGGGGCGGGGGGGGGGGGCTCTCCTCCTCGCCCGGTAACCTCTTCCCAATGCAAATCTTACCTCGACCCACCCCCTCCTAACTTCACCGTCCTTCCTTGAGTTGAGGTTGAAGATCCCCTTCCCAGGGTGGGCTGGACCCCTGCACCGAGGCACCAGCTCCACCCAGCAACCTTGCACCCCCTTGCCGCCCCCAGCACCTGGCCTGCTCTTCACACTTCCCTCAGTTGCAACTTCATGAGCTTTTGTGCAATTACTGCCGCTCTTGTCTCCCCACACCCCCAACCACTCCTGAAGACAGGGACTCTCTGTGCTCTGGCAGCTCCAGGGGCCTGGGCCCTGGAGCTGGTGTTGGGGTTGGACAACGGAGGGAATGGAAAGTGACCTTAGGAGTGCTGTGGGCTGACCTCAAACTGGGGGACCTCTCCCCTGAAGAGCAAGGTGTTTGGCCAGGAGACCCCTTGTCCCTCCCAGCTCTGGTGGCCTCTGGCCTCAGTCCAGGGTCAGGAGCCTGCATGCACGTGCTGGGGCCTGGAGAAGGGCCCAAGGGCAGGTGAGGGGGCTTCCGGGAGATCCTGGGTGGGGTTCCTCCCAGAGCAGCAGGAAGATTAGCTGCCAGGCGGCTCTGTGAAGGCAGCAGAGAGGGCAGCAGAAGCCTGACCCGAGAGCCTGCCCGTTGGGCCCATGGGCAGGCTGGTGCAACCATCCCGGGCTATTACTGCCGGCTGGGGGCCGAGAGGAGGATTGTTCATACTCGGCATTTACAGAAGCAGGACTCAAACATGACAAGAATAATTCATGCCAGTACTCAAGGGAGACAGTGGAAAGCACCGACCCTTCCCCAAGCAGCCACTGTTAACAGTCTCTTGCGTGAGAATCTGGCTCTGCCTTGTTGCCCCGTGACTTCAGGTGCATTTCTCTGGGCCTCCACTCTCTCATCGGTCAAATGGCGATAGAATAGCAAGTGTCTCGGGGCGCCTGGGTGGCTCAGATGGTTAAGCATCTGCCTTCGGCTCAGGTCATGATCCCGGGGTCCTGGGATCGAGTACCGCATCGGGCTCCCTGCTCCTTGGGAGCCTGCTTCTCCCTCTGCCTCTCTCTCTCTCTGTCTCTCATGAATAAATAAATAAAAAATCTTTAAAAAAAAAAAAAGAATAGCAAGTGTCTCGTGGAGTCACTGGGGGGAATGGATGAGTTACTATATGGACACACTGGCATATGGCAAGCCCGGGTGCGGGGTTCTATTGGACATGATGTAGACATACGTGTAGCATACACGTGTACCTACGCGTGTACGGCCACATACTTTCTAAAATGGCAAGTAGTAGCCCAGTTCACTGTTTTGCCTCTTAATTCTAAACTTCGGAGCACTTTGCACCTGAGCACATGTCTATTTAACACTGTGTCTAAGAATCCGCGGTGTATCATCCCAGTGAAAGGACTTATGGAAACTTTCCCTCTGATTTCCTATGTTTTGGTTCCGTGTGGCAGACAATTTGTTACCGTTGAACACAATTTAAAATGCATCACCTCGGGTGCCTGGGGGGTGGCGGGGGCTCAGTCGGTTAAGCCTCGGACTCCGGATTTCCGCTCAGGTCGTGACCTCAGGGTCGTGAGATCAAGCCCCGCAGTTGGGCTCCGCCCTGGGGTGTGGAGCCTACTAAAATAATAATAATAATAATAAAAGTAAATAAAATGCAACAGCTCTAAAGCAGCCCGATTTATTCTATGCGGTCCCTAGCCCTGGGGTACACAGGCCACGTCCGGGTATTATGCGCCTGTGTAGAGACGAGGCAGCGGACAGGGGATGCGAGGCAGGGTCGCAGCGCGGGGTGGGGGGTCCTCCCCTTCCCCCCTCTTCCCTCCCCGCCCACCCCCACTACCGTGGGGGCGAGTCGAGTGCTGGCCCCGCCCCACCCCGCCACGGCCCCGCCCCCGCCCCCGCAGGCCCCGCCCCGCCCCGCCGCCCACGGAGCGCGGCCGCCCCGCCAGGCCCCGCCCCCAGCCCCGCCCCCCCGGCGCGCACTGCGCCTGCGCCGGCGTCTCTGGCTCTGGGGCCCGGCGGCCGCGGCTCTTTTGTTTCCCTGCCGGAGTCCGAGCCGGAGCCCGAGCCCCAGCCGGAGTCGCAGCCGGGGAGGGATCCGGATCAGCAGCCCGGGCTGCCGGGGCGCCCCGAGCGGCCCGCGGGGCTGGAGGCGGGCCCGGCCTGCCCGATGGGGCGCGCCCCCCGCCCGCCACCCCCGGCCCGAGCCGCCGCCTGAGCCGCCCGCCCGCGCCATGGAGCCCGGCCGCGGCGGCCTGGAGGCCGTGGGCAAGTTCGAGTTCTCGCGCAAGGACCTGATCGGCCACGGCGCCTTCGCCGTGGTCTTCAAGGGGCGCCACCGGGAGGTGAGGGGCGCCGGCGGGCCCGCACCGAGTCCCAGCGAGGGGGCACCCCCTCCTCCCCGCCGCTCGCCCGTTGCCCCCATCCCCCATCCCCGCCCCACGCCCGGGGACACCTCTGTCCCTGCCTCACACCCCGGACCCCCATGCCCCCATTCCCACCCCACACCCCGGGCCCCTCAACCCGGCCCCACACCGGCGAGCCCCACCCGCATCCCCTCCCCGCACCCGGGCCCCCCCATCCCCACCACACACCCCGGGGGTTTTCATGCCCACCCCACCCCATGGGCCCTTCCTCCCCATCCCCACGGCCCGGGCTCTCTCACCCTTACATCCCGGGACACGCCGTCTTTCCCACCACACACCTGGGGCCTTGCCACTGGCACCAGAATCCCTCCCCAGGTGCTTACCTGGCCTGGGGTGGCCCTGTATGGTTTCCTGGGTTCCGGGCCCCTGAGGAACATCCATGCTTGGTTTTCAGAAGCACGACCTGGAGGTCGCAGTCAAGTGCATTAACAAGAAGAACCTCGCCAAGTCCCAGACACTGCTGGGGAAGGAAATCAAGATCCTCAAGGTGAGCGGGCTTTGGAAGCGGTAGGGGGAGAGGGTGGTGGGTGAGCTAGCCTTGATCCTAAGAAACTTGGGTTTCTGTCCTAGGAATTGAAACATGAAAACATCGTGGCTTTGTATGACTTTCAGGTAAGGCTCGGGGCTGCATTGGCGGTGGGCAGGGGGTGCGTTTCCCTCCCAGGCTGGCTAGTGCACAGCCTCAGGCCCCACGAGCTTGGGTCCCAGGCCAGCCAGGTGCTGAGACTCTGGTGGGTAGTGGAAGGTTCTAGGCCAGGGTCTCATGTTGGGAGAGGGAGCTGGGCACCCCTGGGTATAGATCGCTGTCTGGCCTGCCCAACTGCGAGTCCTGAGCAGGACCCTGGAGACTTCTCTCTCGGCCCAGTTCAGGGCCGGCTTCCTCTGGGTATGTGGGGAGAGTCCCGCCAGCGCCAGCTGCCTGACTGCTGCAGGCACCAGCAGGGCACCCTGGGTCGCGTCGCGTTCCTGGACTGACGGAGGTCTAGCTAACTGCGGCGGGGGCCTCGGGGGTGTCTGACCCAGTGGGCCCGACCGTGGGTCCTGTCCCCGGTGCAGGCCCCGGGCAGGACGGTGCTGCTGGCCTGGCCCACCTGTCTGGGCCGGCGGCTTGTTTGTTGACATTGCTCCAACGGCCTGGCATTGGCCAGTCCCTCCCTGCGTCAGGCTGGGGGAGGGGAGGGGCCCACGGAGATTTCCTTCTAGCTGGCAGTCGGGGCCAGACGGCCCCGGCGGAGGCTGCCTCCGCCGGCAGCGGGGAGGCGGTCCGCCTCAGGCCCAGCCGGCTCGGGAGGCCCCTGCTGTGTCCCCTCACCGCCCCTGGGGCCGCAGGTGGGGCCTGGCTTCGGTGAGGGTCCAGGACCCTGGAGAGCCAGTTTGGGGACCGGGAACCTGAGGCAGATCTGCAGGCCAGAGTGCTGACTAATGGTTTTGAAACCTGTTTACTGAGGCCACGGGACCAGCCCCTGGCTGAGGGGAAGTTCCCAACCCGGCTGTCTGTGTTTGGGTGGCCTCCTCCCTCCCCCTTGAGAGCCAGGCTGTGGCCTCGGGGGCTGTGGCATGATGTGAGGTGACATGGGAGGGCACGGGTCCAGTGTGACGGCGAGTACCTGGAAGCCGGGCACTGGGCTACCGAGACACGGTGTCCCGGGGCCAGGAGAGCGCCCTCCCCCCTTGCCCTGCCCTCCCCTCCTGGAACCTAGCTCTCCCTCCTGCCCCATCCTGGTTGGGCCGCACACCTGGTTGTGAGCGGTGCTGCTTCCTCTAGTGTTGGCAGCGATTCAGCCTCCCCTGCTCGGAGGAAGTGCATGGAGGCCAGTGGGGCCTCTCCCCTCCGAGGCCCCGGCCTCTGCTGGGGCTCTGTGCCCTCACCCCCCTGGGGTGTGCAGTGGTCCCCAAGTCCTTAGACTTCTCCGAGACACACAGGACCCTGGAAAAATGGCTTTTGAAACTAGGTAATACATAATTGGGCTAAAAAAAATGATCATAAAAGGGGACCTGGGAAGAGGTAGCCCCTCTCTCTCCTTGTTGGCTCCCACACTGACACTGGCGGTTTCTGGATCTCTCCAGGGGCAGGAGCACGTTCCTACATACGGCTTTGCCACCACACCATCCGCTTCTGCGTAAAGTCAGTGCCTTTTTCACTTGAGCCTGTGTCTTGGGGAAGGATCTCTGTCTCCCTCTACGTGGGAGACACACCCCTCTCCCGGGAAGGTTCCCACCCCTGAGCAGAGTGCTTCAGAGCCCAGACTCTAAAGCTAGATGACCTAGTTCCAGTCCTGGCCCTAAACCAGCTGTGTGTCCTTGGACAAGTGTCTTAAGGTGTCTGTGCTTCCATCTCTTCCTGTGGTAGAGACCCTGCAGTTGTTGACTAGAAACAGCCATGGTGAGCCCTGTGTGCTTGTTAGCTGTTGTTACAACGTGGCAGTGGGTGTTATTTGCGGTTGTATTGGGTTCCATTGCCCCACATTCCATAGCTGACCTCGCCGGTTCCCCACTGACGGGACGTGGGTTTTTCTGGGGTTCTGGCACGGCAGCAGTATGGTAGCGACTGTCTTTGCACTCAGTTTTGGCCAGGTGTGTCGACTCCTAGACAGGAATCCCTGGGTAAGAGGGACGTGTGCTTCTAGTTTGGGACAGTTGCCAAATTGTGGTCCCCGGAGGCTGGACTGGACTTGCAGCAGGGCTGCGTACGGAAGGGCCAGTCTCCCCACATCCTTTCCAGGAGGTCGGTTATCAGACTTTGATCTCAGGGGAAAATGACATCTCAGTGTTTTTCACTTACTGTGAGTGAGGCTCAGCGTCTCAGTATGTGAGTATTAGGAACGCCACCTGCCTTTGGCATGATTCCTGTCAGTCTTTTTCTACTGAGGCTGGATGGCGCCATGGTTAGTGGCATGGGCCCTGAACCATACTGTCTTTCTCTGAGCCCAGGTGCTCCATTGACTGACCTTGGGCAAGCTCCTCAGTGTCACCTGTACAGTGGGAGACGGTGACCGTACGCCTGTGTGATAGAGAGCTCTGTCTGCTCAGACACAGCAAATTACGTAGTATTTGCTACGTAAGTACTGTTGATTTGTAGGAGCTCTTTGTATGTTAAGGAAAGCCCTTTTGTGATGGGTTGCAAATATTTCCTCGGAGATTGTTTTCTATTGTTTCGTGATCCTACGGAATAGGGATGTTTATCAGGTGGTGTGGATGCTTGGGGGGGATGTACTCTGTTCTGAGGCCCCCCAGACCCGTGGAGAGGCAGCTGGAGCTTGTGGCCTTCAGTGTGGTAGGTGGTATCTGGACATGCTCTTGCCTGGGCAAGGTGGCCATTGCAGGGATCCGGATTAGGACCGTGCCCAGCATGGCCCAGGAGGAGGGCTGATGCTCACAGTCCTCGCCGACAGTGACCCTCCCCCCCCCCAAGGCCGGCTGGTTCCCACAGCTGGACATGACTCACGGCCGGCCCAGCCGCAGATGGAGCCAGCCCACCTCCTGCTGACTTACTCAGGGGCCTTTCTGGGCAGTGCCAGTCCTCTGCCTTGCCTTTCCTTGCAGAGAGGGGCCTTGGGCCTGGGGCGAAGGCGGGCAGGATGCAGGTTGGGTGGCAGCCCCTCGGTACCGGCTTCCAAGCTGGGGGCCGATGAGTAGGCCCGATGGTCCAGGTGGTTCTGGAAATGCCTGCAAAGTTGCGTTACTGTTGTTTTATCTATCTTTTTTCGCTTAAAAATTCTTTTGACTTAGCATTTTGAAGTATAATATATACTAGGCGGTGGGAGACGCAGATCACGAAATGCTTTGTTAAGCACTTAGCTGAGGAAAGAACTCTAACGCGGCTGGCCCCAGGAGCTCAGCCCCCGAGTTTCTCCGTGCGGGTGGGGTCTGTTGCGCTGCCTTTTGTGGGGATGTCTCTCTCCCGGTCCACCCGCCTCCGAGCCCTGGAGCCCCCCCAGCTCGGCTGCCTGCCTGTGTGCTCTCGGCACCACCTTGGGGGTATGGGGGCTCTGTGGCCGTGTGGTGTCCCATCTTCAGGCGTCTCGGTCAGTGCCCTAGAACGGAGTTGCTGCGGGCATCTGTGTGGGTCACGTCTGCCGTGTCACTGGTGTGTGGCGACCGGGGCATGGTGCGTCTCTGGGAGAGGAGCATGTGGTTTCTGTTTTCCGAGGGATCATACCAGCTCACGCCTCTCTTGCCCTGAGAGTCTCCCCTTGTTTCCCGAGTCGGGCAGGCCGGGTGTGCGGGCAGGAGGGTGCCGCAGAGGGCAGGCCGGCTGGCCTGCCGGCAGCCGCGGCAGACTCCCCGAGGAAGGAGGGTGGGGCCGGGCACCCTTCGCTTCTGGGAGCTGGCTCAAGAGCCCAGCCTGGGGTGGGGAGTGGCCCTGCTCCTTTGGGCGGCTGTGTTCTGGCCCCCACTGGAGCCTTTGCCACCTTCCCGAGCCAAGAGGGCCAGCGTCCGAGGAGTTAACTAGGTCAGTGCCGGCCCACCTACCAGGCCCAGCCCAGGCAGGGAGTGGGATCCTATTAGGCAAAGCACCTTAGCGCCCCACGGCGGGGTGGCCGCCTACGTGCCTGGTTGCCCGTCCCAGGCTGCCCAGCACACCTGGCCATGACGCTCGGGCCTGCCCTGTCCCCAGGGCCTGTGGGCACCCTGCCAGGGGATGGAGAGGGCTCCATTTCATCCCTTGTAAGGCTTTGCCTCGTTGTCCATGTCAGGTGCTTAGGCTGGGATTCATCACCCCCTTTCTTGGGGGCTGCAAGGTGGGGTGGTCGGGACTGAGGGTTCCCACCAAGCTCTGCCCCTCCCTTGCCCCTGTATGACCGTGTCCTGTTTCCTCTCCTGGGGTGGGCTGTGACACGGATGGGACCCGCCATGTCCCTAGGCCAGCAGGGCAGTGCGGCGTGTGGGTAGCTGGCCATGGGGCTGTGAGGACAGCCCTGGTGCATTCCCCCGAGGTCACAGGGTCCCGGAGGGCCTGTGCTTTGGCCACGTTTACGTTTCTGTCTTAATGTTATAATGAGCTTCCGAGAACCTGCCACCTGAGGATGAGAGTAGGCCCCAGTTCCCATCTGCCTCCCCCAGGATGGAAGCGATCCTGGTCATTTCAAGTGTGTAGACTGAATCTAGACTGACCCCAGGGAGGGGGCTCTGTGCCTGGAGCCTATGTGGTCTCCGCTCACTCCCAAGGGAGCTAGTGCAAACCAAGTGTGTGGAGGGCAGCAGGGGTGGGACCGGAGGCCCAGTGGGGTTGTGGGTGGACAGTGAGCTGGGCAGGGGCAGGTCAGCCGTGACCACCGAGGTAGTGCTGACCACTCCCCCCCCCACCCCGGGGGGGGGGTGGCCCAGAGAGCTGGCTTCCCTGGGAGCAGTGATGGACGGACGGCGTGGCCCCAGGTGGGTGGGGCAGCAGTCCCTGGGAGGGGCCTGGGCACGGAGCCTGTCTGGAAAGGTGCCCCACCCCGGGGCGGGGAGACATGCTGCCTGCCCCTTCTCCTGGTCCCTGTCAGGGCTGGCGGCCCTGCTGCCGGGCTCTCTTAGGACCTGGCTTGCTGTTGGCACAGGGGCAGGCTGAGGACACACGCGAGCTGGCTTCTCCTTCCCAGGCCTGGGCATGCTTCCTGACCTCGCCTGGGAAGTGGCCCAGCCTGCGCCCACCAGTGGAGTTATAGGGTGTCCCAGGTGGGGGGAGAGAGGCCAGGAGGAAGGGGCTGGTCTGAAGCCGTCGTCTGGCTCAGCGTCGTGGGAGACCCCAGTCTGGCTTCCCTGGGTTGCCCCAAGCCTGAATGCCCCATGTGAGGCTGGCTTGGCTCCCCACCCTTGGCCCCAGCCCTGCTGTGTTCTTTCCCTGCTGGCCTGCTGTGTTCCACGCCGGGAGGGCCTGCTGAGGGTGAGGCTGATCCTAGGCCACAGGCGGAGGGACAGATCCGTGGGGAGAGGGAGGCTAGGTCCCCGTAGCCCCGGTGCCCCGCTGCCAACGGACTGTCCACTGAGGATCCACAAGCCTCGGGGAGGCTTCAGGGTCTTCCCAGGACAGGAGGCCTTTGGGGAGGCGATAAGTTGTAACCTCCTGTGGGGCGGAGGGAGGCCCTGGGGAGCGCTCGGAACAGTGGGCCAGTGGGGATGGGGCATGCGCAGGGGTGCGCAGGGGTGCGCAGGGGCCTCGAGGGCCTGTGGGGTGGGGTCTTTGGAGGGAGGGCGTCCACCATCCCATTTGGAAGCCTGCTGTGGCTCAAGTGTGGGGGCAGGGGTGGGAGCAGGGCCTAGGCCCTGTTGGGGGTCCTGCGGGCCCTTGAGTACAAAGGGGACTCTTGTTACTTCTGCTGTGGGGGCCTTCTTTCCAGGGGAGGCGGTTGTGGGGTCTGGGGCACTCCCAGATTTGGGGGAGACAGGCAGGCCAGGGGTCTACTCTCACTGCTCCCACACAGCCCTGGCATCCCCACCAGTCCAGGTGGGTCATTCCCTGGGGACACTCTGTCTCTCTGTTGTCTGTCACTCTGTCCCTGCCTGTCCTGGCTCGGCGGGGTGAGTTTGGGGCTCTTCTGGAGGTGCCTGGGCCTGACTCCCAGCTCTGCCCCCTCTGCTGTGTGGCCCAGGGCAAGGGACTTAGCTTCTCTGGGCCACTTGAGACCAGAGTGCTCGGAGTGCTCCCCAGAGCTCACTGGTGAGGAGTAATTGTGGGGCGCGCCCAGCACAGAGGGCCGAGTGCTGCCCCTCCTAGGTCCTCACCTCCCGCCCGCCCTCCGCCCTGTCCGGGGTCCTCTGCCTGCCAGCGTCGCACTCCCCTCCGCCAGCCCCTCCCTCCCTCCCTGGCGCGCTCTCTGCGACCTGCCCCGCTCCTCTGGCCCAGGCGTGTGACCTGGGACTCTCCTGGAGTTGCCCCTGTGTTATCTCTCCCCTGCAGCTGGCCTGGAAGGACCAGTGGGAGGGTGGGGGCGCGCTGGAGCAGGCCTGCCTCCCCCGACCCTAAGAGTACGCCCCGCCACTCCTGCTGCCCAGGTTGTCTTTGTCCTGGACTCCCGCTCTCTGTTGGTGGAGCTCTGGGGGGTGCTGACATTTAAACATGGGGTGTCTCCCCCCTTCCCCCCCCCCCCGCCCCGTGCAGGAGCTTGTGTCCCTGCTCCACGCGCATTGAGTGTGTGTCTGTGCCCAGACCCTGATCCAGCGACAGGGTGGCTGACCAGGGGACCTTTGTCCTGCTAGGTGGGGGTCGGGGCATCCCTGGGACCTGAGTCCACTGCTGGAGGTCAGACCTTTGTGGATGGGCCTCCGGAGACTTCCCCCAAAGGCTGTTGAGAGATGTCCCTCTTGGAGCCACTTCCCTGACCCCTCTCTAGGATCCCCCTCCCACGCTTGGGAGAGCTTCGGGGCCGTTGGCAGACTTGGCTCCTTGCACAGTGGGGAGTGAGAGGTTGGGGCTTTGTGTGGAGCAGAGAAAGGGCTCCTGCTGTGGCTCCCAGGGCCTGGTGCTGCACGGGTGCTGCAGGTTTGGGGGCTGGCTGGCAGAGCCGCTGCGCGGGCAGGATCCAGGCCGACTGTCTGCAGGACAACGGGGGTTCACAGAGACCCCGCCTGCCTGGTTCACTCGGCTTCTGGGGCCTCAGATGACTTGGATACTACTTGGGGATCTCAGCGGCACTCCTGGCAGCAGACGCAGCCTGCAGGAGACATGGGCCCGTGGGGATGCTGGCAGCTGGGGCGGGCGCTGGGGGCTGTCCGTGCACCGGCCTGGGCCTTGAGCAGCTCAGTCTCCTGGGGGCGGACCCAGCACCACCCTGAGGCCATGCGTGGCTGGGAGCAGCGCCGGAAGCTGGCCTGGCTGGCGCTGCCCTCTGTAATCCTGTTGGCATTTTTGATCCTGGAGTCGGGTGGTTCTGAGATTGTGGGTCAAGGGTCTCATAATTTTGACTGTGTCCTTCCTGGGGACCTGGGTCCCCCACTGGGTAGGTAGAACGTGAAGCTGAGCCCTGTTGAAACTTCACGCCTGGGCTGACCCTGATTTTGACTGGGACCTGGGCAGTTGAAGGTTGCCCCTTGGCATCAGGGTTCATGTCCACCCCAGACACCCCTCCCGGGACCTCAGCGTCTTCCCCAGACTTGGCAAATAAGAGTGCTCTGATTGGCTGCCGCTCTTGTCAGTCAAGCCCAGTGCAGAGGACCTCAGAAACAAATCACAGCCCAGGCCCTCATCTTCTGGCCACTCCCCAACCGGGCAAGCGCTGGCACAGCAGGCCCTGGGCCCACCCAGCCAGCCACTGTCCATGCTCCCTGGCCTCCCTCGCTCACAGCCCAGGGGATGTGTTGAGGGCATGGGTGCCGAGTGCGTGGCTCACGCTGAGGCCGAGACAGGCTTCCTGGAGCACTGCTGGGGGGGGCGGGGGTGCTTTTTTCCACCTCTCATTGCTGTTTCTGTGTCCTGCAGGAGATGGCTAATTCTGTTTATCTGGTCATGGAGGTGAGTTCCTGCAGCCCCGGCTGGGAGGACAGGGAGGCCGGACTCTCCTGGCTCCTGGTTCCTCGTCACCTGGGGGTTAGAGGTTGGTTGCATGTCCGTGGGGGTGTAGGGCCACCCCATCAGGAGCCCTCGTGGCTGTGGCAGGGGCCTGAGGTGATCAGACCCCCACTGACCTCTTCAACTACGGATTGCAAGGGACACCTGCCCCAGGAAGGAGGCTGGGAACAAGGGAGCAGGTGTAGGGTGGTGGGGCGATCCAGGAAGGGCCGCTGACCAGGTTGTGCCAATGGTCTGTTGCAGTACTGTAACGGCGGGGACCTAGCTGACTACCTGCACAGTGAGTGGACACCCCTTGGCCAGGGGCCTGCATGCCCAGTCTCACCCTGACCCAGCCTGCAAGGCAGCCTGATGGAGGTGGAGGGTCTTCCCGTACCCCGAGCACTTGCTGTGGAACGTGGAACAGCCTCACAGGACACATGGGTCTGGAAGGCCCCTTGTGAGCAGGGCCCTAAGTGCTTTGTGGGGATGCGGTGCCTTCTGATGGCCGCCTGGCCCTACAGGGGACCTGAAGCACCTGGCCGGCTGCCCTGCAGGGTGCTGGGCTGTTCTGAGCACCCTGGGCCCCCAGCAAGGCCTGGCTGACCACGGAGGGGTGGGCCTCCCCCAGGACCCTGCCACAGGTTGCGGGGGGCAGGCACTCACTCTCCTGGTCGCTGCCCCGGCATCCATTTGTCCATCCCTTCGCTCAGGAGGGCGGGCCCTGGGGCTCACCTGCAGCGGTGTGTGGTGGCGGGTGGCCCAGTGCCGTGAAGACCCCAGGAGCCGGGCAGCCGGCAGCGGATGGGCTCGCGGTGGGCCGGACCGGGCATGCGCATGCGGTGTGAATGAGGGGGCGGGGCCGGGGGGGCGCAGTGCAGGAACGGTGGAGTGTGGAGCCCCCCGAAGGGCTGGCGGCCCCTCACCCTGGGCGCCTGTCTCTGCAGCCATGCGGACGCTGAGCGAGGACACCATCCGGCTCTTCCTGCAGCAGATCGCGGGCGCCATGCACCTGCTGCACAGCAAGGGCATCATCCACCGTGACCTGAAGCCCCAGAACATCCTGCTGTCCAACCCCGGGGGGCGCCGCGCCAACCCTAACAACATCCGCGTCAAGATTGGTGAGGCCAGGGCCGGCAGGGGGACGGCGCGCGGGGAGGCCCGGGAGCCAGGGCGGCCCCCTCACGCGCCCTCCTCACCTGCAGCCGACTTCGGTTTCGCTCGGTACCTGCAGAGCAACATGATGGCAGCCACGCTCTGCGGCTCCCCCATGTACATGGTAGGTGGGCTCCCCGCCGCACGTCGGCTGCAGCCAGCGAGGCTGCGCTATTCTTGACCGCACCTGTGGCGGTCGGGCGGCAGGTGGCCCCAGTCCGTTCCGCCTGGCTGGTGTTGGCACCAGACCTCGGCCGCCGCCGTACATTGTCCGTTGTAGCCACAGTGCTGACTTGTATGCCTGACCCCCGTAGGCCCCCGAGGTCATCATGTCCCAGCATTACGACGGGAAGGCAGATCTGTGGAGCATTGGCACCATTGTCTACCAGTGCCTGACGGGGAAGGCGCCCTTCCAGGTGAGCGAGCCCCAGGTCAGGCATGGGCTGGCCGCCGCTTCGCACTGCACCTGACACTCAGCTCCCGGTCCCAGCGCGGCCACCGAGCACTGCAGGCCCACAGCCTTCGCTCATGAGAGGCAGATGGCCTCGTGGCTCCCCACCGCGCAGTCACGGGGGGCCCCGTCCTGCTGCAGGCCAAGCTGGAGTCGGCGAGCTCCAGAGTGCATCCGTGTGTGCCCATGTGCATGTCTGAACCCAGCCTCGTGCCCTCCTTCCTGCCCATGCCCTGCTGGTGTGCGGCACTGAAGTGGTGTTGGGCCCCGGGGAGCACCACCTGTGAAAAGCAGTGGCCTGCTCAGCAGTGGGATTCTGGAGGGCTGGGGGCTCTGAGCCTCCTGTGCTGGGCTGCACACCCCGTCGGGACTTCCTGGCTTGACCACGCAGCACTCGGCTGTTGCCAGCTGGCTCCTCAGCTCCTTGGCTGGCCCCCTGGCTCCCTGCCCCCCTCCCTGTCTGCCGTTTCCTCCCTGCATGAGCATGCGGAGGGCTGTCCCTCACTGTCAACCCCGGGAAGGTGGGGCACTCTCTTGCTCTTGGCTGCTTGCTGGTGCCGGGAACAGTGCCTGGAATGTGGCGGTGTGCGGTGACCGCAGATGGCTGACCACACACGTGCCCACCAGGTGTTCCCTAGGGGGTATGGTGCACACTGCGAGGGGAGAGCTTATGCTGGGGTCCTCTGCTGGGAGAGGGGGTGCGTGGACTCTTGTTTTATTTCAAGAAGCAAATACCTAGTCACACCGGACACCCAAGACCACCCTGACCGGTGTGCCCTGGCGGGGAGGGAGGCCTGGCCGCCTGGCTTCTGGCCCACCTGGCTGCCCTTGCGTGGTGCCCATGGTCTACGTGGACGGGGGCAGGGGGCATCCCTGGGAGCATGGAGGGCCTGCGGTGCTTGGTCCAGGGCTCCGGCCTGCCGGTGTGGCTGGGGGGGCCTCGTACGGAGCTTGGAGGCTCTGAGGGGCGCTCACGCTGCCTTCCCCCACCAGGCCAGCAGCCCCCAGGACCTTCGCCTCTTCTACGAGAGGAACAAGACACTGGTACCCACGTAAGTGCCCGGGTCCTGCCCGCCCCCACGCCCCGCTGACCCCGGGTGGGTGGGCGGGCGGGCGGCGGGTCATGTTGTCTCTGGCCCCGCCCAGCATCCCCAGGGAGACGTCGGCCCCGCTGAGACAGCTGCTGCTGGCCCTGCTGCAGCGGAACCACAAGGACCGCATGGACTTCGGTGAGCGGCCCCCGGCCAGCCCACAGCGTGTGTCCTGATGGCCCACCCACCGGGTCGGGGTGCCGCCTCCTGGCTGCATGTCCCCCACCATCAGCTCCCAGGTGCCCACGGCACTTTCCCAGCAGCCCAGGCTGTGGAAACCCCGGTTTTGCAATGGGAAGTGCCGCCGCTGGGAAAACCCATGAGGCAGGGTCGGGGGGGCCTCAGCCGGCGAGAAAAGCCCCCAGCTGGGGCCGTGTCCCTGCGCGCCTGGCGCGGTGCCGGCCGGGGTGGGTGCCCAGGCCTGCTGGAGCTCAGGCCCCAGTGGCAGCTGGGGGGGCGGGACGCCGTCTTTCCCCCAGGGGGCCCTGGGGTCAGGGCTCTGCTCAGGCCTCTGCCGTCCTTCTTCCCGCAGACGAGTTCTTCCGGCACCCTTTCCTCGATGCCAGCGCCACTGTGAAGAAGTGTGAGTCCCCTTAGGCTCCTGGAGCGCCACGGCCATGGTGGGGCTCAAGGGGGGCGCAGGTGCCGCGCCGGCTGCTGCTGGGCTGGCCCGGTAGGGGGAGGGTGGAGGGGTCTCCTGCGTGCTGACTTGTGCCCCCCATCAGCGCCCCCCGTGCCTGTGCCCTCGTACCCGAGCTCGGGGTCCGGCAGCAGCTCCAGCAGCAGCTCTACCTCGCACTTGGCCTCACCTCCGGTGAGTCTCCGCTGGGGCCGGGCCCTGGGCTCCTCCCCCTGGGGTCTGGCGCTGCGTGGATGTCATGCGGAGGGCTGTCCCTCACTGTCAACCCCAGGAAGGTGGGGCGCTCTCTTGCTCTTGGAAGCTCCCACCAGCCGTGGGCAGACACGTTTGGACTGTGAAATGTTGGAGCCTGACAAGTTGGCAGAAGCCCTCGTAACCCCCCACCCCTAGCCCTCGTGTCCCAGAGGCCGACCTGCTTGGTGCGGGTCTGTGTGTGCTGTGCACGTGTGGGCCGGGGAGCGGGGCGGCCCTGCGTCCTGGGGCCCGCCCCCCAGCTTGTGTCCCCAGCACCTCAGCACGGGTTGGGCGAGGACAGAGCCGGGGCCCCAGGGCCCGTGGTAGAGAGGACCGCTCTTGCCCACACTGAGGGCGGACGTTGGGTGCCTTATGTCCTGAGCGCGGAGCGGCCCCCCTTTCAGGCCCTTTGTGGGACTGATGGAGACGCGGGGAAGTCTCCCCGGGAGCCCAGTGGGAGCTGGGTGGCTGCGTCCGTGTGACTCGCTGTGGGGCCCAGCCTGGGCCTGGCGAGCGGCAGACCACACAGAAACTGATGGGGGAGGAGGGCACGCTGAGCCCTTTGTCAGCACCCAGCAGCCCCGGTCTCCCCCAGGCCCCGGGGCCGAGTCTCAGTGGCCTCCCCTCTGACCCCCAGTCCCTGGGAGAGATGCAGCAGCAGCTCCAGAAGACGCTGACTTCCCCGGCCGAAGCAGCTGGCTTCCTGCAGGGTTCCCGGGGCTCCGGCGCCAGCAGCAAGGACTCGTCCTGCGACACGGATGACTTCGTCATGGTCCCGGCCCAGTTTCCAGGTCAGGGGTCGGGGGTTGCTTCGGTGTGAGCTCTGTATGTGTATGTGTGCGTGTGCACTTGCGAAATTCTCTACCTGTGTGCCCTCAGGGTGGCTCTGGCAGTTTCCGTACCAGGTCAGCCTGCCTATGGAGTCAAAGCCATGTCGTCCCAGTTACCTGTGGCTGGTCTGTGGGCTGAATCCCTGTGCTCGGGCCCTGCCCTCTGCACCCTCTGGAGCATCTGCTCCCAGGGAGGGAGTTGCTGCCAGCTTCGTATTTGTTGAGCCCCAGTTCTCAGGCCTCAGGGACAGGCCCAGCACCTCCTAAAACTCGGTCCTGGGGTCTAAAGTTCCTCTCATGACCCTGGGCTTTGATAGGTCCTTTCACTGCCTGTGGCCGTCCCATGACTCCTGGGACTCAGGGCTGAGTTGGAGTGGCCCTGGACCTCCAGGGCAGGGGCAGGAGGGCAGTGAGCGGGAGACAGGGCCGTGAGGGAGGTTGATGGGGCAGGTGTCTGACCCAGCGTCCCAGAGCAGAGGTCAGGCCCAGACTGGGAGCCCTGGGTGCCTAGCCTGGAGGTGGCTGAAGGCTGGGGTATGGAGAGCGCACCCAGGGTCTCCTTCAGAGCCCTGAGGTCCGGTCAGGTTGGGGGACGGAAGTGGGGACTTGGGAGCGCTGCCTTCTCCCCTCCCCACTGTCTGGAATTGAGTGTGGGGCCATCAGGGAGCCATGGCGGGTGAGGTGGCCCAGGAGCGTGGAGTGGACGCTTGTCCTGGCGTGAGAGGTACCCAGGCCCAGCCTCACTCATCTCTTGTCCTCAGGTGACCTGGTGGCCGAGGCGGCCGGTGCCAAGCCCCCACCGGACAGTCTGATGTGTAGCGGGTGAGCCCCCTGCCCTGCCCGCTCCTGGTTTGGGGAGAGGGGAATGCTAGCCCTTGCCGGTTGTCCCTTTGCCTCGTCCATCTTGTCTGTCCCTACCAGGAGCTCACTGGTGGCCTCCGCTGGCCTGGAGAGCCGTGGCCGGACCCCGTCTCCTTCCCCACCCTGCAGCAGCTCTCCCAGCCCCTCAGGGTGAGCAGGGGCTGGGGTGGGACAGGGCCGTGCAGGGCCCCAAGCTAAGCTAGGGTTAGGGCCCCCAGCCCCAGGTTGGGCTTTGCAGGCTGTACTGTGTCCGCAGGTCCTGTCCTGGTTCAGGCCTTGCAGGACACCGGGTTTCTCGTGGGTGGCCCAGGAGGAGGGGCTGTGGCAGGAGGGGTGTAGACCCAGGGGGTGGGGTGGGGTGGGAGCTGCGGGGCCAGGTGGGCTCGAGTCCCCAGAGCCAAGCGGGGGAGCAGCCCCCGCCTGGCCTTCTACCACGTGTCCCTGTGGCCCAGGGTGCGTGGGGTGGGCGTGAACAGTCCTGGCTGCCTGAACGGTGGCAGTGGCCTGCGCAGAGCTGAGGAAGCAGGCGGCCTTGGCGGTCTCTGCTGCACTGTGTCTGGGGCTCGGGTTCAGTTCAGTACTCTGTTTCCATTGGCAACGCCCGCGGCCCGCCTCTCCTCCTGTTGCAGCCGGGCCGGCCCCTTCAGCAGCAGGTGCGGTGTGTCCGTCCCCATCCCGGTCCCCACGCAGGTGCACAACTACCAGCGCATTGAGCAGAACCTGCAGTCACCCACCCAGTACCAGACCACACGGTGAGCATGGTCACCCCTCACCTCTCATCCCCCCGTGACTGTAGGGGTCCCCCTGGGGGCAAAGGGCATGCCCTAGAGGACTATAGTGAGAACCCCCCCTGCAGCCTCCTTGGAGTGATACAGGGTGGTCCCATGTGCACAGTTGTGCAGGTTGTACACTGTGTAAGTCTCACTGCCACTGTTCACAGACGTGCGGAGGTTTTAGGTTTATTAGGACAGCTCCCTGATAAGACGTCAGTGAAGTATCATGAATTTACAAAACCCAGTGTTGATTTTTGACAAATTTCAACAAACACAGCCGGAGGACAAGGCTCCCTTTTTTTTTTTCCGTAATTCACAGGAGATCTTGTGGGCTAGTGGTTGTCCCGGCAGGGACTGTGACCTCAGGCCTGAGGGTGCCCAGGGGGAACGCTGGGGTTCTTCACTTCCTAGTTACCAGTCTAGGCAGGAGGGTGAGTGGTCCAACCTTCCTGGGGGCTCCCCAGTGAGACTGTTATTTGAACAGATAGGGACGAGCCGTCTGGCATGGCTGTGACCCTCATCTCGCGCCTGCTCTTGTCTCCAGGTCCTCCGCCATCCGCAGGTCGGGCAGCACCAGCCCCCTGGGCTTTGCCCGGGCCAGTCCGTCACCCCCATCCCACGCCGAGCACGGAGCTGCCCTGGCCAGGAAGCTCTCCCTGGGTGGGGGCCGGCCCTACACACCATCTCCACAAGGTGAACCTGAGGGCCCGTGGTGGGAGCTTCTGATGAGGGATCGGGCATCTCCCCGGGCTGGGGCGGCGGGGGAGGGGCCTTGGCTCTGTCGGGGCATGACCCTGGTGACCCCTCTCTCTCCTCAAGTTGGAATCCTCCCTGAACGGCAGGGCTGGAGTGGGGCACCCTCCCCGCAAGGAGCCGAGATGCGGGGTGGCAGATCCCCTCGTGCGGGTAGGTGTGGCCGTGGGCCAGGGGCAGGGGCCAGCTTCCTGCTCATGACGGTCACTCGTACAGGGAAGGGAGGGTCGGGTCCTGGGGCACTGCTCACGAGCTCAGGCCTTGGGCTGTGGAGCGGCACTTGGGCCTCAGTGTCCGCACCCACCGTGCGGTATGACCCGTGCCCATTTGCTCGGGCGCACCGCCGAGCAGCCAGGGTGGGGGGAGTAGTCCAGACACAAGGGCCTCACATACACGCTCGTCTTGCTGCTGGTGGGGGCTGGGCTGGGTAGGCCCCACGCGGTAGCGACCGGGCCCTGTCCTGTCCTGTTGCAGGCTCCTCTGCGCCCGAGCACTGCCCGCACGCCGCTGGGCTGGGCTATCGCTTGCACAGCGCTCCCAACCTGTCGGACCTGCACGTCGTCCGCCCTAAGTTGCCCAAGCCCCCCACGGACCCCCTGGGGGCGGCGTTCGGCCACCCGCAGTCCAGCCCCCCGCAGCCAGCCCACGGGCTGCAGTCCTGCCGGCCCCTGCGAGGCTCGCCCAAGCTGCCTGACTTTCTGCAGCGCAACCCCCTGCCCCCCATCCTGGGCTCCCCCACCAAGGTAACTGGGCCACAGAGCTGGAGGGGGAGAGGGAGGGAGTGACCAGTCCTGGGAAAAGCCCGCAGAGTGTGGCTCTGTCCTGAGGACCCCTTCCCGTCCACCTGCCCAGGCTGTCGGCCACCCGCCTGGCAGGATTCCTGTGGGACACGCTTCGGGCCCCAGAAATGCAGAAGGTGCCCCATGGGCTCCAGTACCGCTCCGGGCAGGCCACTTAGCTCAGTCCTTGCTGTGGCGTTCTTGTTGGTGAAGTGGGGCCAGACCCGTTAGCGACACATGCGGGGTTTCCGAGGGCGCACGTGTGCCTGGGGGGTGGGCATGTGCGGGGCACGTATTGCTTTCCTGCAGCAAACAAGGCCTTGTGCCTTTGCTGTGGAGACCGGGTAATGGAAGCGTGGGGCCACGCAGGTGTCAGCGCCCTCATGGTGGTCTGTCTGAGCACCCCACCTGCTCCTCCTAGGCCATACCTGCCTTCGACTTCCCCAAGACCCCCAGCTCCCAGAACTTGCTGACCCTCCTGGCCCGGCAGGGTGTGGTCATGACACCACCTCGGAACCGGACGCTGCCGGACCTCTCCGAGGCAGGACCCTTCCAGGGGCAGCAGTTGGGCCCCGGCCTGCGGCCCACTGAAGACAAGAGCCCCTTTGGCAGGTGTGTGGGAAGGGACTCTCCCGACACGCTCGCTGCCTCGCTGTCTGGGAGGAGAAGCCGGGAGGAGACCTGCGTGTGGGCAGGGGCCCTGTCTGCGTCTCCACCCTATGGGACTCTTTGTGGGTTCACTTGGCCTGTGTGTTAATGGGGGACACTACCTGCGTCCAGGGTGGGCAGGAGACGGCCAGCCTCTGTGAGGCCCTGTGTGTGCCTGGCGTGCGGTGAGTTAGGGCAGGCTGGCCGGGCGATGTGGGGCGGGGGCCCCGGGCCGGCTGCCCACGGCTCCTCACCCTGCAGGTCCCTCAGTACTGGCCGCCTCACTGATCTGCTCCTCAAGGCTGCGTTTGGGACCCAGGCCCCTGACTCGGGGAGCACGGACAGCCTGCAGGAGAAGCCTATGGAGATCGGTGGGCCGGTGGGCTCCCAGCGGGGTGGGGGGCGGGCGCCGACCACCAGGCCCTGAGCCCCTCCTCCCGCTCTTGCAGCGCCCTCTGCTGGCCCTGGAGGGAACCTGCACCCGGGAGCCCGTGCTGGGGGGGCCAGCAGCCCGTCTCCCGTGGTGTTCACCGTGGGCTCACCCCCCAGTGGGACCACGCCGCCCCAGGGTCCCCGTGCCAGGGTGTTCTCAGGTGAGGACTGCACGGCGCTCCTGCAGGCCGCAGGGCGTAAACGGCGGTGCAGATGGGTCAGGACGGGGCAGGAAGTGTGAGGTGGGCTCGCTCTTACACGTGGAGCAGGGATAGTGCCCACGGGCACCCGTGTCTGCAGCCACTCTGGGCAGGCTGTCCTCGTCAGGTCGGGGTCCCGGGCTTGGGGCTCCGACGCGCCCACAGCTGCCGCCTCTGGACCGGAGGGCCCACTGGCAGGAGCGCAGGGCGACTGCGGTGGGTGGCAGGGGAGGAGTGTAGACCGAGGCATCCAGACCGGGTGGGAAGGGGTTTGCGTCCAGGAGTTGAGAAGGGCGTGTCCTGAATCGGCTGTCCACCGGCCTCTGCCTGCAGTGGGCTCCTCGAGCTCCCTTGGCTCGGCCAGCTCCCCCTCTGCCCGTCACCTGGCACCGGGGGCCTGTAGTGAGGCCGCCCCGGAGGTTCCGGCCCCCGGACACTGCTGCAGCTTCACCGACCCCGTCACCGCCAACCTGGAGGGGGCTGTGACCTTCGAGGCCCCTGACCTCCCTGAGGAGACGCTGATGGAGGTGAGGGTCCCCGGCCATGGGCAGCAGGTCCTGGGGCGGGGAGGGCGGGGGGCCACGGCCGCCGCCTCAGCCGCCCCGTGTCTCCGCAGCAAGAGCACACGGAGATCCTGCATAGTCTGCGCTTCACGCTTGTCTTCGTCCAGCACGTCCTGGAGATCGCGGCCCTGAGGGGCAGCGCCAGCGACGCGGCGGGGGGGCCCGAGTACCAGCTGCAGGAGAGCGTGGTGGCCGACCAGATCAGCCTGCTGAGCCGGGAGTGGGGGTGCGCGGGCCCTGTGGGGCCAAGGGGGGAGGCGGCCTGGGGTCCGGGGCCTCCGCGCCGCCTCACGCGTCTGCTGCCCTTCAGCTTCGCAGAGCAGTTGGTGCTCTACCTGAAGGTGGCCGAGCTGCTCTCCTCGGGCCTACAGACTGCCATCGACCAGATCCGGGCCGGCAAGCTGTGTCTGTCGTCCACCGTGAAGCAGGGTGAGTGCCGCAGCCCCAGGGGCAGCGATGGAGGCCGGAGAGCGTGGACAGGGTCGGGGGCAGGCAGAGGAGGGAGGGGGCTGAGGAAGGCCCTTCCCAGTGACGTGAGGGTGGCCGGCGGCCCCGGGCGGCGGGGGGCCTGCGCTGACGGTGGCTGCCCTCGTCCCCGGCCCCCGCCCGCAGTGGTGCGGAAGTTGAACGAGCTGTATAAGGCGAGCGTGGTGTCCTGCCAAGGCCTGAGCCTGCGGCTGCAGCGCTTCTTCCTGGACAAGCAGCGGCTCCTGGACCGCATCCAGAGCGTCACTGCCGAGAAGCTCATCTTCAGCCACGCGGTGCAGACGGTAGGCACCGCGTGGCACGTGGGATGGCGGTGGTAGGGGCCGTGGGGGGGGGCTGTTGACGAACACGGCTTGCTGGATTTTGGGCGGGGGCGTGACTCCATGCTGCCCCACAGCCAGCGCTGGCCCCGGGCTCCCCAGGCCCAGCCCGGTGTTGGACGCCTGTCTGGCTCCTGGGTCCAGGCAGGAGGCCTGGTTCTCAAGCCTTGTAGTGGGCGAGTGTTTTCCAGGAGAGACCAGAGCAGGCGGCCCCGCTGGAAGCATGCAGCTCGTGGGCGGTGGGGCTGCAGGGGGCCCCGGCTTTCTGCTTCCCTGGCTTTGGGGGTCTTTGTGCCTAAAAAGGGTTGGCTCTGAGGTGGTGGCTGTTATTGAGAACATTCGTTGGTGTAGCATAAGTGTGCAGTCTGCACAACGGTCTGGGGGAGAGCTTGTTTTCTCGTGCCCGGTGGTGACCGTTGTCTGCCAAGGGGGTGCTCTGCCTGGGGGCACTGGTCCCCCTGGGGCAGTGTCGGCCGGCTGGTTGCCCAAGGCCGCACGAGCCCTTGTTCAGGCCCCTGGCAGTGCTCCCGCGTCCCACACCCTCCTTTGCGCCCTCTGATGTGTGTGCCGCGACGGCCGGTCCCCTGACCCTCTGTGCCTGGTGTGGGGTTCGGGGCAGCTGGGCTCAGCCCCTGGCCTCCCTCGAGCAGGTGCAGTCAGCCGCCTTGGACGAGATGTTTCACCGCCGGGAGGACTGTGTCCAGCGCTATCACAAGGCTCTGCTGCTGATGGAGGGGTTGCAGCACATCCTCACCGACCAGGCGGACGTGGAGAACATTGCCAAGTGTGAGTGCCACTGGGCCAGCCAGGGGACGGCACAAGGGAGAGGTGGGTAGCGGGGTCCCCCCTCACGGTGCCGTTCCTCATTGCAGGCAAGCTGTGCATCGAGCGGAGACTCTCGGCATTGCTGACCGGCATCTGTGCCTGACCTGCGGGGTGCCTGGCTCACTGTGCCCAGGGGGCTGGATCTCCTCTGCCAGTCCCCCAGGCTTGGGGGAGACCGGCTGGCCAGGCTCGAAGGGACAAGCCTGCAGCCTTGGTGCGGCTTGCTGGTGTCAGGGAGAGGGCGGGGCTCCTGAGCTGCAGGCCTGAGCTTCAGGGCGCTGGGAGGGCTCCACACAACCCGAATCCGGCCGGTCCCCCTGCCTCACCGATGGGCTGAGCTCCCGGCCACCTTGAAGGCGGGTGGGCACCTGCGGCCGGTCCCCAGCCTCAGCCAGCCCCCAGGGCAGCCCTGATGCCGGCGGCCGTGCTGAGGACAGGAGGAGGCACTGAGGCCTGCTCTGCCCAGGAAACGGTGTGGCCTCCCGGACCCCCTTCCCCGAGATCACCCACCCAGCTTTGTGAATCACGGAGCACTTTACGCAGGCGCACTAGGAGACGCGTGTACATACCTATATACAGACGCACATGTATGAACAGCCGTGCGAGCCCGTGCGAGCGCGTGCGCTGGGCCTGCTGCCTGGGATCCCCCCCCCCCGGGGAGACACAGACATCTTATTTAAATGTTCTTTTAGGGACGGACAGTACGAAGCACCAAGCTTTCTGAACCCAGAACAGACGTTGAAGTCTATTACACTTTACTCCTGAAACGTGTCTTATTTTTCTGCAGCTCTTTTTTTTTAACAAAAGAAGAAAATCTGTAGGAGTTTAGGATGTTTGTTTAGGAAGGGTGGGGCAGGGCGGGGTGGATCCTCAGCATTCTGTGGAGGCAGGTGGAGGCAGGGGGTGCCTAGGAGGCCACCTGGAGGCCGTGGGCAGGCGAGGGGGCGTTTCCTGCAGAGCCTCCTGTCCAGCTTTCATGGTGGGTTTGATGCCAAAGTTGTGTGTCCCCCCCCCCCCCACCGCAGGCTGGGTCCTGGCTGCTCTGGGGGGAGGCCCACCTGAGTCCAGGCGCCCTGGGCAAGGGGTTTAAGGTTTTACATCAGGACATGGACATCTTTGTGTCTCTTTCTTTGCAATACTTGAAACACGGCCCCTGTGCTTGGATTTCGAAGCAGCCCTGTGAGTCGTGGCCTCGTCCACTGGTGACTTGGTTCCTTGCTGCACGGAACCTGTGCGTATTTATTGCTTTACGGTCGGCTGGGACACAGGCCACCGGAGGCTGGTGCCACGGGAGGGGGCTCGTGCAGCGGGCCGCCATGCGCCTGCCTCCAGCATGTGTGCTGCCAGCCGGTCTTGTTCTCCACGAGTCCGCACCTGACCCTTGGTCTACTTTACAGGAGTTTTGTGTGATCCCTCCCCCCCATTTGCGTTACATCGTGTAATACCGATTGAAGGAAATAAACCTTTGGAATTGAGTGGGCGTAGCTGACGCTGGTTTGTCAGCATCTCTCATGTCACGCGCTGTGTCCAGGGACCTGCAGCAGCCTGCGCGTGACCCCCAGACTGCTGACCCAGGGCACACCGGGTGCTCCAACATGCGTTCACAGCTGCGTCCACCCCCACCACCAGGGTTGCGGTCTCAGTCCCTGGGGTACACCTGGGAGGGGGGTGTGGGTTGAGAGGGGAAACGGCTCCATGTCCACCCCCATCTGTGGTGCAGGAGGGCCTGCTTCCTCCACACCCTCCCTGACGCGGTGGTTCTGTCTGGGTTCTGGCTGTGCTGGGGTTTGATGCGTGGTGATCTCCAGCATCCTCTCCTGTTTGCTGGCCATTTCTAGGTCGGTTGAGTTGTAGGATTTGCGTTTTTAAAACTACATACTGTTTCTGTGAGTTTTAAAAATAACCCTTTACCAGAAAGGCTAACTGCAGTATTACATGGAAGCGTGTGGAGGGGTAGCCTTAGAGGCGGCGGAGTGTGGGGCCTGGGAAGGTGGGGCGGGGGGTGGGGTGAGGTCTGCCCCTGCCTGGCTTCCTGCAGTGTGCTCGCGGTGTCTGCAGACAGGAAGGGCTGTGCTGGTGGGGAACGGGGCAGCAGGCGGAGCCCCTTCCGCCCGGTGGGGCTCCTGGTCTATCAGTAAGTGGAAGAAATGCCCTGAGGATTAAGACAATCATGGCATTGTGTTGCTAAATTAATAGGCTTCAGAGTTCCACATCCTCCTTTCCCCTGCCCTCCCTCCGTTTCTCTGAACACCTTGCAGTGGTGGGGGACACGGTTACAATCCGTGAGCCTACATGGACACGCGCCATCACCCTGGCCCATAGTTGCTGCTGTCCATTCTGTGGGCTGGACACCTGTGTGATGACACATGTCCACCATCACAGTGTCACACGGAGTAGCTTCACTGCCCCCAGTCGTCTGTTCTGCCCATTCCTTCCCTCCCCCAACCCCTGGCAAACACTGGTCTTTTTATTGCCTCCTTAATTTTGATTTTTCTAGAACGTTCTAGAGTTGGAATCAGTGTGCAGCCTTTTCAGACTGGTTTCTTTCACGTACGACGCATCTGAGGTTTCCCGTGTCTTGCCGTAGCTCATTTCCTTCTAGCTCTGAGTAATGCTGTACTGTTTGGATGGGATGGGTCACTTTATTTATCCAGTCACCGACTGAAGGACACCTTGATGCTTCCAAGCTTGGGCAATTATGGCTGAAACCGCTAGAAAGGTCCCAGTGCAGGAACTTGGTGGTAAGTGGTGGGCCCAGGAGGGCTGGGCCAGGGCTGTGGCAGCTGCAGGAAGGGCTGGCTCCCTCCTTTCTGCCCCAGGACCTCCGATTCCCCAGCACATTCCAGGCATGTTCACAGGGGCCCTTGGCCAGGAGGACCAGGCTCAGGCCAGCCACTGTAGCTGGCGGGATCTGAGGAGGGAGCGGGTGTGGTGGTCTGCTCCCCACACGACAGGTCACAGGGAGCCTCTGTCCCCTGACAGTCGGCAGTTCTAACATCACAGTGCTTACCTTCCTCCTGCCCATTTCACTCCTGCCAGGATCCTGGGGCAGGCTCCTCCAGGGACACCTGCCTCCATCCTCTCTGCCTGATGTGGCCTGGCTGGGGGCTCCCCAGCAAGGGGCTGCATGCGGCACAGCCCAGGGTCTTGGGCTTGCCCCTGACACAGCCCTCTACCTGGTCTGGGTCTCTGTTCCAGCACCAAGGAACCCTCGGCTCCCGTGTGGCGGGGAGGGAGAGGCTCTGTTCCCAGTGGCGTAGCCTGAAGCCTCAGCATCGAGCCTCCCCGGCTCCCTGGCTGGGTTTGTCCAGGTCCTGGACTCCTGTGGATGCCCTCAGCCTGGGGTCCCATGTCCATCTCCCTGTGCCAGGGTGGGGCCCGTGCCCTCAGAGCTGCTATAGGGCCTGGAGGGAGGATTCCCCACAGAGGGAATCTTCTGGCAGAGGGTGGGGGAGGTGCCCTGTGTGAAGGTCGGTCCTCTCTGCAGAGATGGCCCAATGCTTCCTAAAGCTGCTGAGCCCCCGGAGCTCCCCAGGTCTCCTGTGACCATGCCCTTTTGTCAGCCCTGGCACATGGAGGCTGTGCTCTGCCCTCCTGCAGAGGGGAGGGCTGTCCGGGGGGTCGTTCAGCACAGGTGAGCCGGCCCCTCCCACCCGCACGAGCTCCTCCTCAACCCATCCTCACTTTTGAGCTCAGAGGAGTATGGTGTGGTCCGGGGAGACCCTTGTCAGCAACCACCAACCCACTTTCTGTGCCCGGGCCTGCCTGTTGTGGACGTTGCACATGAATGAGGCCCTACCCTACGGGCCCTTCGCGTCTGGTTTCTCGCACCGCGGGGGGACTCACATCGTGGGCGCGCCGGCCCTTCGGTTCCCTGTGTACGTGACGTTTAGGACTTTGTGATGCCCTATCTACTTCTATGTTTGGTTGCTCCCTGGGCGTGCCCCCACAGGAACCTGAGCTTCCGAGGCCGACTTCTGGTGTTGCGCTCCTGCGCCGTCTCCCGCAAGCTTTTCCCGGGGATCGCGCCCCCCGGTGTGTCGCGTGAGCGGCCGCCGGGCCACCACGGGCCCGGGAGACGCAGAGCCTGGGGAGCCGCCGGGGGGCTCGCCCCGGGAAGGCCGGGCCGCGACGCTCCGTCCGCGGAGCACCTGCGCGCGCCCGCTCGCTCCCGGGAGCCCCGCCCCGCGGGACTTTTGTCCACGGCCGGCCGCCGTCGGGCGCGCGTTCCGCTTCCGCCTTCGCCCACGTGGTCCGGCTCCGGCTCCGTCCGCGGCGCCGTGAGTGGGGCCGCGGGTGGGAGCGCGTGTCTCTAGCTCCGGCGCGCGTGGCCGGCGCCCCCGGACTCCCGAGGGGGAGCCGGGCGGGGCGGGGGGGGGGCCAGGAGGGGCGGGGGCCGCGAGGGCGCCCCGGGGGCGGGGGCCGCGGGCCTCCCCAGCCCCCAACACCCCGCTCCCCGACGCGCATGGCGGCCTCCAGCCTGCGGGCGGCGGCCGGGGCCCTGCGGAGAGCCTGCGGAGCGTGGAGCCCGCGCCTGGGACGGCGTCTGCTCTGGTAACGGCGGCGCGTCGCCCGGGCCCCCGCCGTCCAGGCCGCGCGCCCCGGCCGCGGCGCTCACTCAGTCCGTGTCCTCGCAGCTCGCCCCCCATGGCCGGGAACGCGCAGACCCCCGCGGGCGCGGCGCGGGAGCAGGACGGGAGGGCCCGCGCCTGGGAGGACGCCGAGCAGCAGGCCAAGAAGCTCAAGAGCAGCCCCGACGGGGAGCCGCACAGGAAGCCGCCCAAGCGGAAGATCGTGCTGCTCATGGCGTATTCCGGGAAGGGCTACCACGGCATGCAGGTGAGGGTCCGCGCGGCTCGCTTCTCCGACCGGCTTCGGGCGGACGGCTGCCCGGCTAGGCCAGCTCAGGACACGGGGCCTCGCCCTTCACCCGGTTTTCAGCGTCGCGGTGCGCCCCCCGGGGGCAGGGTTTCCGCTGGAGCCCCAGCTGCCCCGAGCTCTGCTCTGGCCCCGGGAGGTGCGGCGCTGGGGCTCCCGGGCGTCCGGAGCCTCCCCTGCCGCCGAGCGGCCTGTGGCCGAGCAGCCTGCGGCCGGCTCCCTGTGCGCTCTCTCCCGGAGGCCGGGGGGCAGGGGGGCGCCAGCCGCCGTCGTCTGCCCTACGCTGGAGCTCAGGCTGGGGGAGGTAGGGTGCTCAGAATTCCTGAGAGTTGGGGGTGCAGGAGCCCCACACCTGCACAGAGAGGTTCTTGGCCCCCTAGTGGGTCCTGTGTTCTGTGAGCCTGTTGAAGCTTGACTCAGAGGAGGGACTCGGGTGCCGTGCCGGAGCGCGCCCGGAGCGTCTAACCGGGCGCTCCCCAGGTGGTGTGATGACTGTCACCAGGAACAGCGGGAGAACTGCGGTTCTTCGGGTCTCGTTTTAAGGAAGAGCTTAGGTCACACGGGGGAAACTGATGTCGCAGTGTGGGGTCGACTGTGCCAAGGGACGGACCACTCCTGTTGCTCTGTGTGGGTGATGAAAGGCTTTTGTGACTGATTTTGAGGAGGTGCATTTTTGCTTTAGGCGCGGTCTTGAGAACTTTGCTGTGTCTCAGCAGCTTGTGTGCCTCAGTTTCCCCGTGAGGGAAACAGGCTGGAGAGTGACAGGGGCTCACCGTGCTGATGGGAGGACGTAGTGAGAGCCTGGCACTCGGCCACCTTCCCTGCTGCCGCAGCCCTGCCCCTGCGTGGGGGTGTTTGAGCAGCATTTATCTATGACTCGATGCTTGCATCAAGGGACCGTAGGGTAGACCTCGGGAAGAACTTCTCCTGTGGTGGTCTTGGCAGAGTGCTCTCGTCCGCTCTCGTGTCCCTGGTGTGGGGTTTTCTCTGAGAAGCGCCAGGGGGGTCGCGTGACCTCACTGATGTGCGGGGTCCTGCAGGCCCTGGGTTGTGCTTAGGGCATGCGAAGAGGATAGTGTTAGGAGGTTCTAGAAGCAGTGGGTGTCGTGCGGGCCGGTCCCATGAGCTGAAAGGATACTGAATCCAGCCCTGGCATCCTGGGGTGGGTTTCCTGCTTTGAGTCAAGGGGTCTGCCTCCCCGCGTGGTAAGGGGGGTGGCCCTCCGCAGCCCGCTGCTGCCGACAGATGGGTCTCTGGCCAGAGGGGCACTGGTTTCAGACCTGACCAGGTGGGAGGAAACTGTCGGGTGATGCCCTCTGTGGGCTGTTTGACCTGGCTGCGCAGGGTGGGGCGTTTCTAGAGACTGGGTACCCTCAGGTAACTGTCCCACTTGCCACGGGACGGGGAAGAGCCGCGGTGTATTCCCAGGGCCGCAGATGTGGGCCCAGGCCCCAGGCGCCCTGCGGGGAGCAGCTTGGGCCCAGGGCTCCCGTCTGTGGGCGGCGACTGAGTGAAGAAAACTGGTTTTCTATTCGTTCTTTCAGAGGAATATTGGGTCCTCACAATTCAAGACCATCGAAGATGACTTGGTGTCTGCCCTGGTCCAGTCGGGTTGTATTCCTGAAAATCACGGTGAAGACATGAAGAAAATGTCCTTCCAGCGGTGCGCCCGGACAGATAAGGTAGGCGCCATCTCTGCCCCTCCCCTGCAGGTTCGAGCAGCAGACCTGAAGCTCCTGGTCTGTACGTCCTTCACACCACACGTCAGCGTCTTTATTCGTCAAGATTCTCGGCTGTGAATGACAGATGCACAGACCAAACTAGCCAAAACGGGAAGAAAGCCGTCGCCTCGTGTCACCAGGAAGTTCTCAAGCATTTCCAGTCCAGGTGTGGCTGGACCTGGGTGCTCCCTGCGGACCAGACTTCGTGTCTGTGTGTTCTCCTGCGTGGCCCCTGCAGGTGGCCGCACAGTGGTTCTGATATCCACGCAGCTCAGGCTTGCCAGTACATAGAGGACTGAATGTCCTGTCTTCCAGGAGGGGAAAGGAAAGGGGTGATCCTGGTGTGAGTCATCTGTTTTAGCTTAGTACATCCCTGACAGTGTTTTGTCCCAGTGTAACAGGCAGAACGCAGTTCCCATTGTGTGCGTGCGCATGTGCTTGCGTGTCACGGCTTGGCAGTCCGGTACGTACTCCACGCTCATGGTGCGTCACCACCGCACTGGCCGGGTCTCGTGGACCAGGGAGCCCCGGTGGCTGTGGCCCCGTGCTGTCCACTCGGTCTCAAGATTGGGTCTCAGCGCGCTTAGTCACTGCCTCACACATGTGTCCTGGGCTCAGTCTCGCCCTGTCGTGTTCCTGGGTGTCGGTCTGGCATGGGCTGCAGCTCCCCAAGGAGAGTGGAGGGGAGCCGGGCAGGCGGGTAGGGCACAAACCTCGAGCTCTTCTCCAGTAGATACGAAACGCAGAGTGCACCGCATGCCTTCTGCCCCTGCTCTGCAGCCCTGACCCTGGGATGCTTCTGTGGCCACCTGAGGTCCCTGGGGGTGCGACACAGGCATGGGCTGGTCAGCATCCTGAGCAGCCAAACAACACCCGGGTCCACAGGTACCAGATCCCCTGGGTTCACGTGCCAGGTGGGGACCACAGAACTGGTGAATCGTACAGATAGCGGAGAGCAGACGGGACTGTGGGTCCACTTCTTGTAGGTGATGCGGTGATGTTTCCCACGGCTCAGGCGAGGGTCCTGTGGTTCCAACAGTTTCCCTTTCCTCTTTAATTGGCTTGGTGACAGCTCCTCTGGTAGTTCTCAAGGCAAAAGGAAAGCAAATAACTAACAGAGCGTTTCAGAGCGTGGGGCTTAACCCAGTGTTGTTGGAGATTGTTCCATTCAGATGTGTTTCCCTCTTACGGTTTGGGGAACCTGAAGAAACCCGAAGCTTCCAGCACTAACGTCCCAGCTCATCTCTCCACTTGTGCATCCAGCCCCGTGGATGAAGAAATGATAGCATTTTCTTAGCTTTTATTTCAGATTCTTTGAAAAGCCATTTTATTGAGATACAATTCACTCCTTACAGTTTGCCTGTCCAGAGTGTGCGAGTCAGTGGATTCTTGAGTGTTTGCAGAGTTGTGCGGCCGTCCCTGCAGCTGGTCTGGGGACACTTTCATCTCCACAGAAAGGAGCCCAGGCCCCTTAGCCATCTCTCCCGCCCCAGCAGCACGTCCAGAATGTTCTCATTTACACATGATTAATACAAAAAACATAGTGGTGTCATTCACCTTTTTTTTTTTAATTTTGCTTTTTTAAGTAATCTCCACACCCAGCGTGGGGCTTGAACCCACAACCCTGAAATGAAGAGTTGCACACTTCACTAACTGAGCCAGCCAGGCATCCCCATCTCCCCAGTTTTTTATTGGGAAAAATATCAGCCCTGCAGATGTGTGGGGAGTATCGCGGTGGACGCTGGACCAGCCCTCCCCTCGATTCAGCAGTGATACCGTTTTGCCACATTTGTTTCCTCTTTACATTCTTTTTTCCCTTAAACCGTTTGAGAGTCCGTTGCGGACCTCATTCACCCTGAAAGCCACAGGCCTGAATGTGCCGGGATGGCAGCGCCCCTGGGAGTTCCCCTCGGGTGGTCCGGCGCTGACGGGGTGCCGCTACCACGCGCCTCGGTCTGTTACTGACCCAGCGCTTGAGCCGTGGTCGGCGTGTGTGCCTGCTCCCGTCCTCTGAGCTCCCTTTAATCTGAAATGGTTTCCTTGTTGCTTTTTTTCTATTTTTTTTGGACAGGTGAGGCCAGTTTTGTTTTTTTTTTGGCTTTTTATTTTTTATCTTTTTTCTTAGATTTTATTTACGTGAGAGAGAGAGAGACAGAGATAGAGCACAAGTGGGGAGCAGAGGGAGAAGCAGGCTTCCCGCCGAGCAGGGAGCCCGATGCGGGGCTCGATCCCAGGACCCTGGGACCATGACCTGAGCCGAAGGCAGACGCTCAACCGTCTGAGCCACCCAGGCGCCCCGCTGTAGTCGATTTCTTGGCACAGGTTTGTGGAGCGCCTTCAGATGATGTTTGTGTGGTGACGCGGGTGGTGCCGAGCCGCACACCTGCGCGTCTGCGCCCAGGACGGCACCCCGCCCCCCCCGGAGCCGTCCTGTCCACTTCCCTGTCCCCACATGGTCCTGCCATGCTGACTGTCCACACAGCTTTTAGGCAAAGGCCCGGCATCGGGGTGGGGAAGCATGCTCACCCTGCTGGGAGTTGCCTGTGTCACCAGCTCCCCTTCGCTGTCCCCGTCATTACCCCGTCCCTGTTCCACAGGATAACTGCTCTCCTGACTTAGATGGCACAGTGGTCCCCCCTGGTTCGTGGGGGCCGCGTTCCAGGACCCCTGGTGGATGCCTGGCCTGTCCCTGGTGCCGAAGCCCCGTGATAACGGTGTGCTCGTAAACGCGGCCCAGGGAGAGATGAGCAGTGGTCGCTCAGGGCAAACCAGGATGATTACAGCCATGCGCTGGCCTGGAAGTTAGGTGAGCGTGGGCTCTCAGAAGGCCTCTGAGCCGTACCCGCTGTCCCCATGACAAAGGGAGACGAGATGGGGGTGCGGAGGGCAGGGGCTTGTGCTGGGGCGCGAGGTGGAGCGTCAGCAGCGCGGGTGAGCGCGCACCTGGAGCGGGGACGGCGACACCGTGGGCGAGGTGGGGCGACGGCTTTCCCTTGCTTGGCCTCCCACTCTCCCAAGGAAATCGCTTGCTCTTTTCCCCACGTTGTGCGGAGTCTGCTCCGAGGGGGCCTTCATGTCTTACCTGCGTGACGTGTGTCCCGCAGGGCCGAGGCCATCGGTGGTCCTTCGCCGGTTGTGCTCGCCTGGCTTTTTGGCGGACTGAGCGTCATCCTTGGGTCTCACCAGCCCCTCAAATGCGTTTCTAAAGCCAGAACTGGTACAGGAAACGGTGTAGCTTTGGTGTGGTCCTTGGTCCAGGAGACTGCCTTACGGAGGGGTGTGCCTGACCCTTCTGCTTCCTTTGCAGGGCGTGTCGGCGGCCGGCCAGGTCGTGTCCCTGAAGGTGTGGCTGATTGACGATATTTTAGAAAAGATCAACAGCCACCTTCCGCCTCACATTCGGATACTGGGTAAGCGCAGCAGGGCAGGGCTGCGTGCCGCGTGGTGGCTGGTCTTGGAGGGACGTGAAGCCTCACCAGATTTCTCTGGTGTGGAATCAGGATGCCGGGGCGGTTGCTGAGTGGTTGGTAGGAGAGGCTGTGAGTCAGCTCAGAGGTTGCTGTCCCCTCCTCCTGAAGGGATGAGCTGGACACGCACTTGGGAGCTCCCTTCATGGCAGCGCCTTGTTTGACCCAAACACCGGACGCAAAAGTCCCGATTCGGTAAAGCTGAAACGGGTGAGGATTCTCTTTTTATAACAAGCCTCTCAAATGGGATTTTTAGGTCTTTGTTAAAACAATTCCATCTGACTCTCTGCTTTTGAGTGGCGTGCGCGGGCTGGTGGTTTCCCACGCTCTTGGGTTGGTTGGTTGGCGTAGACCTCGCCGTCTGGTGCTTCTTGTCTTTTCTGTTCTGTGCTCTCCTTTTCTTCTGTTTATTCTTTTGGATTAATGAATGTTTTTTATAATTCCATTTAATTATCACCTTGGTTGCCTTGTTAGGGGTAACATGCCGTGGTTTTTAGTGGTCGCTTGGGGTTAAGGCAGGAATTGGCAGACCCTCTGTAGCGGGCCCGGCCGCGTGGCCAGCCGACCTTGATCTCGGCCTCGCGTGCCCCATGACTTTAACTGCCCTGCCGCCCCCGTTGTTGCTGGTGGGCTATTTGGTGGCCTGGTGGCCGTGTCCGTTGGAGCTGCTTCTCACCTCGCGTTTTGTGTGAAGACAGAGGCACTGTCCTGCGTCCGTCCCCCCGGCCTTGCCGCTGACGGGTGCCTATCATGTGACTACGTGTGGTACCAGCCACGCGGCGTTTTTCGTTTAAGCAGCCAATTGAAAAAATCCTTTGAGATGTGGCTGATGTGTGATGAGCACCGTATGTGCGCCCACGCTTATGGAACCATCCTGGGTAGGACCGTGAGCCCCTCCGCCCCCCACCCCTCCTCACGGGCCACCACTGATCTGCGTTACTCTTAGTGCTGCACTGAACAGAATCAGGTCACACGTCTGGCTGCTTTCACGGAGCCGGTGTTGTGTGGACCCCGCCACGTGGGCGTGCCACACGTGGTTTCTCCATGTGCCCCGAGGGCGCTGGGTTTCTGCGCTGTCAGGGACAAAGCTGCCGCAGGCATTTGGCGCAAGTAAACGGAGATTCTTACCGTGAAGTCGGTAACGCTTACTGATTACTTTTTCTGCTACTGGACGTCTGTGTTTGCACGTGACGTGGCTTTTGTTTGCTCTGCTGGGGTCTTTCTCTGCTGCAGGGAGGGTCCCCTCCTGGGACACTCCTCTTTGAGTAAACCCTCCTGAAGGCGCCTTGATGCGTTTGCACCGGAAGGTCTTCCATGTAGTCCACAGATCAGGCCCCAGTTTTGCTAAAACAACACCGAATCCCATACAGTTACCGCAGTGTCAGTGCTTCTCGTGCAACCTGACATGCGGGGTGGTTTCCCTCGTTGCGGCCCCGGAGCACAGCCATCAGGCAGCCCGGGTGCTGATCCGACAGCCGCCTGCATGACGCGTCCTGGCGATGCTCGGTGCAGACAAAAGTGAATTTTCAATGCCAGGTAACAAGGAAAACCTGAAATTACCCCCAAATGAGACAGAGCAGTAGAGCGAGAGCAAGGAGGGCAGGAGCCCTGGGGGCTGGGCTGGCTGGAGGTGCCCGCAGGGCCCTGGTGCAGCTTGGGCAGCACCCCTGGGTCCAGGTCCTCGCCAGTACCTGTGTGTCGTCGGGGAGATTCTCTACGCACGCATATGCTTCCGTGCTTCTCACGAGTGGAGCCCTGCATGCTTCATTCTGTCTTTATTCTTTCACTTCCTAGTTAGCGTGTTTGTCGAGCACCTGCTGGGTCTGTCTGCTCTCAGGGCACGGGGCCTCTGGTGTTCGGGGGCTGCCTGCTGCTTCGTCCTGCTGACGTTCTAGAACGTGTGCGATCGTGTTTCTCTCACGGGACTTCTAAGTTGTCTCTAGTTCTTGTTCTTAGCCCTGCCGCTATCTGGTGGCCTCGTGTAGGACGACCCATAGGGCGTGGTTTCGGGTCCCCCGTGGATTCCGTGGAGAGCTGTGCAGGGCATGAGCATATGCTTCCCTGCCCATCTGTGAACCCCGGGTTTTAACAAACCGCTGGTGTTTTTGATGAGTTGGTTTGCGTAACTCTGCCATTGAGCATCGGGCGCGTGCGGGTTCGGTGCACGGAAGCCGGGCCCACGTCTGGTCCAGGGGCTCGTTGGCAGGGAAGCGTTGTCCTCACTTGCCTCCTCTCCCCCCAAGGACTGAAGAGGGTCACGGGCGGCTTCAACTCCAAGAACAAGTGTGACGCCAGGACCTACTTCTACATGCTGCCTACGTTTGCCTTCGCCCACAAGGACCACGACGTGCAGGACGAGAGCTACCGGCTGAGCGCAGAGACGTTGCAGCGCGTCAACGGGCTCCTTTCCTGTTACAAGGGCACGCACAGCTTCCACAACTTCACCTCGCAGAAGGGGCCCCGCGAGGCCAGTGCTCGGCGCTACATCCTGGACATGTTCTGCGAGGAGCCTTTTGTGCGGGAGGGCATGGAGTTCGCGGTGATCAAGGTGAAGGGGCAGAGCTTCATGACGCACCAGATCAGGAAGATGGTCGGCCTGGTGGTGGCCATCGTCAAGGGCTACGCCCCCGAGAGCGTGCTGGAGCGCAGCTGGGGGGAGGCGAAGGTGGACGTGCCCAAGGCGCCGGGGCTCGGCCTGGTCCTGGAGCGCGTGCACTTTGAGAAGTACAACCAGCGCTTCGGCAACGACGGGCTGCATGAGCCGCTGGACTGGACGCGGGAGGAGGCGGGGGTCACGGCGTTCAAGGAGCAGCACATCTACCCCACCATCATCAGCACCGAGCGCCACGAGCGGTCCATGGCCCAGTGGCTGAGTACCCTGCCCGTGCATGACTTCAACGCCACCGCCCATGCGGCAGCCGGCCCGGGCACCAAGGTGGGGGCTGGGGCCATGGGGCTGGAGGCCGGGGCCCTGGGGCTGCCACAGGCCCTCCCTTTCGGGCGCTCGGCCAAGCTTCTCACCCGCTCTACACTGGTGTCCTTGTGTCCATTGTGCAGACGAGCAAGCCGAGGCGCAGAGAGGTGCGTCAGGCTCTCGGGGTCACACAGCTGTGACGAGCAGGGCATTGGACTGGGTGGCTGGCGACCCCACAGTGCTGCTTTGTGTTTGCTCCCCACTCTGTACCCAGTGACCTCAGACAGAGGCTGTGCTCAGTGGCCGGCCTTAGCGTCCGTGGGACGGAGGTGTGAGGACGAGCGCTGTGAGGTCCTCAGCGCGTGTCTGTTGTCACACCTGCTCCGGAACGTGGGGTCCCTTGAGAGGCACGTGGGGTGCTTGGCGCCCACTCCAGGTGGTTGCTGTCTGACGCGCTCTCCCACTTGGGCCACGGCTCCAGGCGGCTCGTCCCTGCCAGGAGAGTGTTAGGAGGAGGGCACGTGTGTTGAGGCCCTGGAGCTAACCGTAGTCTGCAGCTGGATTCTTTCCCTGGGGCGGGAGACGTCCCTGAGCCTGGGTTCTCTGCTGGCCCAGCAGCTCTCCACGGGTGCAATCCCACCTGGAGCGCTGGGAGAGTGTTTCCCATCGCCTTTGCGCCCAGAAAAGCATGCTCCTTTCCGCACACCTGGGCTTGTAAACCCACGCACGCAGGTAGGGTAAGCCGGCCGGGTGGGCCAGGTGTGGAAGAGCAGGTGTGCAGGTGGGACGACGAGGGGCCGCAGCATCAGGGAGGTGATGGGGGTCGGACCCTGGCAGGCGCGAGCACTCCTGCCCTGTCTCACGGCCACATCAGGGGGAGGGCCGCGCCGGGAGAGCTGAAGCTTTCCCAGGAGACACCGGCATTCTGGGATTTTATGTGGAGTCTTCTGGTCTGTGAGTGTTGACGGTGTCGAGTTCTCCCAAGCACTGTGAGGCCGGGTGGTGTGTGTGTGCAGATTCGAGCTGGGGGCCAGACGTGCCCTCTGCTGGACTCCCGCTGGGACAGGCTCCTGCCTCCTGCTGTCTTCACACCTGAGGGAGGGCCTGCGCTCGTCCAGCTGGGAGTAGCCCCATTTTGTGTCCCCTGAGGGGATCTGATGGAGCCCTGTGACGACCCCCTTGTCCCCAGCCTTGGCTTTCCCTGAGCAGGTCAGGTTCCTGAGCTGTTGGTGTGGGGGCCAGGAGTCGGGCTGAGACCAAGTGCTTGCGCGTGTGCCTGATGACAGGCTGGGCTGGGGGCCGGCCCTGATGCTGAGCGCCCCCTTGGACAGCCCCCCCAGGGAGGAAGCACCCACACTTTGCTCTTGTTCTGCAGGTGCCTGACCCCCCAGGAGACAGCGACTGAGGTGGCGGCCACCTGCTGGAGCGCCTTCAGGCTGGCCCAACGTGCGCCAGGAGCCCCTGCTGTCACCGCGGGCCCACCTCCCAAACGGGAGCCGTGCCGCCGCCCCGCAACCTCAGGGTCTTGAGACCTGCGTCACGTTGGGTTTCATCACAGGGAGGACCTGCTGCGAATCTGTTTTCAGCTCATGCATTAACCGTATACACCTCAGCATGTAAAGACACTATTTTTTTTAAAGAAGCAATTTTCTTATTAAATAAGTACGAACTTTGCTAAAGTCACGCCGTTTTTTTTACCTTCACTTGGTCTCTGCTATGCTTGTAGCCTCCGGAGAGGGGAGGGAGGGGGGGAATGCTGCGTGCTGTTAGGAGCAAAGGGGCATTGGTGGGCAGAGGCCGGAGCCGGTGGGCACAAGAGGCTCCTACGGGACCAGCCGTCAGGCCCTCAGGACCGGGCTTGGTGGCTTGGCCGTGTAGTGGAAGGCAGCCCCAACAGGGCCCTTGCCCCTGGTCACATCCACCCCAGCCCTGCCCATGTCCCAGGTGGGGGGAGTGGGGCAGATGTGGCCCTCGGTGAGCTCTCCCAACAGAAGACCCACCAGTAGCTTCTTCCCCTCATTGTCAAGGGCATGTCATGCTGTCCGGTCTAGCTGCAAGGGATGCTGGAAGATGCCTTTTACCAAACGGGTAAAAGGTAAAAGGTAAAAAAAGCACAGCCCAGAAGTGACCTGTCAGTGAGAAGGGGGATTGGGTGACGGGCAGGCCCTGGGTATGTCTGCAGAAGGCACGGGCAGTGTCCCGTGGGGAAGTGGTGTGTTCTGTGCGTGCCGGTGTTCATGCGTGGGCACGTGAGCACACACCTGATGATACGTGCACGCACGAGATGTACAGCGCCTGTACCCATGGGTACGTGCGTGTGCTTGTGAGTCTGCACGGGTGCCTATATGCACACCTATGTGCACATGTGTGGCGTGTGGGGGCATGTGTGGGCACACCCATGTGTGCACGGAACTGGGCAGATCTCTTCGAGGGTTTCTTCTGGGTGGACAGACAGGGTGGCACGAGTATCATCAGGAAGACCACTGAGGATGCTGGTGGTGGCCGGGGTGGAGGGGGGAGGGTGTGTGTGCAGAGGGTGAGTGAGGTGTGTGGGGCCAGAAAAGCAGCTGGGCTTCCTGCTGCCGAGGGGACAGAGGTGAGCACAGGAGGGAGCACAGAAGGCTGACTTGGGCTTCACGTTTAAGGGACTGAGGGCCTGGGGCCGTTAGCAGATGGGGCGGTCTGGAGGGCATGCGGAGCTTGGCATTAGGCGTGGTAATGGGCCCGGGGATAACTAGGGCTCTTTGCTAAGTCATTTCCAAGGGCAGCAATCAGCCCAAATAACTGCTGGGACCACTGCTCCCATGACAGGCTACAAGGGCTTGATTTGAGCATCAGTCAAACCTCTAGAATAGATAACTCCCAACTGACTCCAGGTAATGAGTGGATGACCTGTGTAACCACCTTGGAGGATCCCTGGGAGGGCAGCATTTTAAAGTAACGAATATGCTTTTGCAGCAACAGTACATACGAGAGAAGCCCTTCCCTCACTGGTTCCTAGGGCCTCTCGCAGAGAGCCCTGTGCACAGATGAGCCCATCTGATCCGTCTCTTCACACAGATGGTGGCTTACAGCGCACTTGACTCTTGCCTGTCCCAATGTAGCATGGCTTTGCGGTCGTGAAAGTCTGCATCGTTCTTGCCGGTGGCTCACTGTCCATGCGGCCCCGCGTGCTGCCGGGCCTTTGTCCAGACCATCCCTATACGTCCTCGTTGATGTGTGTGAGTAGCCGTGGATGCAGAATCAGTGGTCTGATGGGTTTCTAGTGGCCACTTGACTTTGATGGCTCCTCCCCTCCATAGAACCCTGCCAACATCGCATGATGGTACGTGCCCCTCACTCTCTCCAGAACCTGAGGGGAGCACGCCTGACCTTGGGGCCAGCCTTTTCCTGGGTTGCATGATCCTTCCCTGAGCATGGAAGGCGCAGAAAGTTAGGGCCGGGATCTGCATAGTCAGGGGGTCAGATGCCAGAATGCAGTGTTATCCCAAGGACACAGGAGAGCCAAGAATCCGCACCTCCTTTCCCTGCCCAGCTGCCTGCCAGGTCCCCACATTGGCCAGCACGCAAGATGGGCACGCAGGTCAGCACCTGGGAAGCGACGGGACATCTCGTGAGCTGCTCTCATCTGTGTATTTGGGACCACGCAGGTGTCCGAGAAGGAAGACATCACTGTCTGGTTCTGTGTGTGGTTGGGCAGGTGTTTTCTTCAGCAAATTTGGGGTTTACAGATTGCTGGGGGTGGAGGGGCTCAAGGACCTGGTTTTGGACTGGACCAGATCCCCTGGAAGGTTTCCCAGAACAAGACAGAACTGGCCCATTGAGGCATCTGCTCCTCATGCTGCCTCTGGAGCTGGGGGGATCGGAGGACCCAGACCCGCCCCCCCCCACCTGTGGCCACAAACCTGGAGCTGCTGACAAGCTGCCTAGAGCTGTGGTCCAGGGGGAGGGGTTCATGTCAGGAAGCCACCAGTGTCCACGGCTCCATGTTGATGGCCACCCAGCACTGGGCCTCCCTTGCAGGGGAGACATTTGTCAGCCCTGCTTTTGGGCAGCAATGCAGCAGGAAGGAGGTGGCCTCCTCCCTCCCACTGCCAGTCTTGCACAAATGCAGCGAACAGAAGGGGCCTCACTCAGCCGGGACTCTGGCAGATCAAGTTTTTAACTTCCCGGCTTCACCAAGTAGGAGGGGGGCATGCAGTTTCAAAGAGCCAGCCCCCACCCAGGCGATTCAATTGGATGGAGAATGTTCTTTTGACCATGGCTCTAGAACAACTGCTCAGTGCAACTGCCCACTCCTGTCTCCTTGTTATTTTTTATTTATTTATTTTTTAAAGATTTTATTTATTTGACAAAGAGAGACAGTGAGAGAGGGAACACAAGCAGGGGGAGTGGGAGAGGGAGAAGCAGGCTTCCCGCGGAGCAGGGAGCCCAATGCGGGGCTCGATCCCAGGACCCCGGGATCCTGACCTGAGCCGAAGGCAGACCCTTAATGACTGAGCCACCCAGGCGCCCCTCCTGTCTCCTTTTTGTAGCCAGGGTTTGTTTTTCTAAAATTTTCAGTTTAACATCAGAGGGCATTTGCACCTGCACTTTGCTGAGGTGCTTTATTGCATCAGTCTTCTAATTTTTCTTTTTTAAAATTTTAAGGTTTTTTAATTTTATTTTTTTAAAAGATTTTATGCATTTGAGAGAGAGAATGAGAGAGAGCACGAGAGGGGGAGGGTCCGAGGGAGAAGCAGACTCCCCGCCGAGCAGGGAGCCCGATGCGGGACTCGATCCCGGGACTCCAGGGTCATGACCTGAGCCGAAGGCAGTCGCTTAACCGACTGAGCCACCCAGGCGCCCCTAGGCTTCATTTTTTTTAGGTGAATTTTGTAGTGAGACATAATTCAAATACCATAAACGCATCCTTTCAAAGCGCACAATTCAATGGTTTTTGGTACGTTCACAACGTTGTGCAACCATCGGCGCTACCTAATTCCGCAACATCCTCACCGGCCCCCAAGGGCAGTCCCCCGGGCCACGGCCAACCCACCGTCCCCTCCGGGCTCTGCCTACTCCGCACATTTCCCATCAGTGGGGACCCCGGCGCGCGGCCGGCTACGTCTGCGCCCACCGAGCGCCGAGTCTCCCAGGTCCGCCCATCCGCTGGTGGGTGCGCAGCGGGCCCCTTCCCCGGGAGCCGCGGGTTCGCACGGTGCCGGGCCGTGTGCGGCAGGCGGTGGCCGCGGGCGGGCGTGGACCCTGAGCCCCTCCTCTCTTCTCCCGCCGGCCCCTGGCCCGGGGTCTGATCCGCAGACGCCTCCCCCCCTCCGGGTCCCGTCTTTTCTCGGCGGCGTTCACCGCGCCAGGCCTTTCCAGTCCGACGCTGTCCGCGGGCCCCGGGAGCTTCCCGCCCCGCCGCCCCTCGCGGCCGCAGCCTCGCCCCACGCACGACTCGGCCGGGCCGGGGGGGCGGGGGGGGAATCCGCCGCCGGCCCGTCGTCCCGCTCCTCGCCCGGCCGCTCTAGCCCTTCGCCCGTCTCGACGCCTCCCGCCGCGCGACGTCACTTCCGGCTCGCCGTAGCGGGCGCGCCGCCGCTTTCTCCGCTCGCGGCCCCGGATGCGCCGAGCGGAGCGGCGCCGCCTCGACTCCGGCCCCCAGCCCTCGGCCGGACGCGGCAGGAGTGCGGTCCGGGCTCCGGTAGGTGAGGGCGCGGCGTGGCCGGGAGCGGCGGGGTCAGGGTCCGGAGTCGTGTGGCCCGCGCCCCGGCCTCTCTGGAGCCGTTCCCCCCCCACCCCGGGGCGTGTAGTTGGGGGCCCGCCGCGGTGGGGGGGCGCTGCCGGGAGTGGGGGGTGGAGGCCCCGGGGGTGCAGGTGGCACTGGTTTGGCGCGGAGACGCGGCACGCGAAGGCGGGAGCGCCGGGGGAGCGGGGGGAGTGGCGCCGGGAGTCAGGGGTGGGCCGGGGATGGGTGGGGGGCGCTGGCGCGGCGCGGAGCCGCGGCCCGCGGTGACAGGGCGCCGGGGCTGTGAGGGGCGCTGATGCGGGGACGCTACCCGCCGGGACGGGGCGCCGGGGGTGGGTCGGGGCTCTGGCGCAGCGCAGAGACCCACGGCGGTGCGGCGGCCCACCGTGACCCGGGCGCCAGGCGGGGGCGGCTCTCCCAACTCCCGGCGCAGGCCTGGCTCTTTATTTCGGTTTGGTTCTTGGGTGTGTGTGGCCAGCCCCTTCGGCAGGATAGGATCCTCACTGCGCTGGTCCTCTGGCGCGAGGCGTGCCGCCTTCGCAGGTGTGCAGAGGGGAAGTGACTGGTCCAGGCCATTCAGGGGGGGACAGCTGGGTGCATTCAAACCCGGCTCATTTTGACGCTGCTGCGCTCGGTACAGCACCGTGGTCGGAATGTGCGGGGCCCCACAGTCTCTCTGCGCAGCCCGCTCGGCGCTCCGCAGACGGCTCAGCCTTCTTACGTCCAGCCCTTTGCGCCGGCTGTCCCCTCTGCCCTCAGCACTAGCCACGGAAGTCTGCAGCCCTCAGGTCTCCGCTCGGATGTCACCTTATTACTAGAGAAGGATAGTGCAGCCCAATGCCGGCGGAGCTTTTCCCTGCGATTGTGCATGTTGGAGTCTTTGTGTACTTTGTGATGGATTGTTAAAGTGACGTATACAATAAAATGGTTTTGGTAACTCTTTTTAGT